TCACTATACACAACCTGAGACACATCGAGTTAAAACTGTGAGAGAAATAGCGTTTTTTGTGTATATATAAAACATGAGCTCTGCTGACCTAAAAAATCTACGAAACCCCACATTTCATCAATTTCCCCACAAAAAAGTTCCAACTGCGTCCTGCATCACGCTAAAAATGAACGAATGAGACGACTTTACAATTGTTGTTTTGCCTCACCATCACAATAACTCACAGACCCATAAATCAACAGAACATTTACATAGAAATGGAATTTCATGTGTTATTTATAAATTAAAAATAATAAACAATGAAAAAAAGCACAAATAGATAAATTTATTACATCTGACAGCAATAGTGTAAATAAGTAAGGTGTTAGTGCCATAGGTAGTATATTTGCATATGACACCCCATATAACTAGGCCTACTGAGTATAGCTGCATTTACATCGGATCCGAACCATAATTCGGGCCACGTTTCCGAAGTGCCAAACGCCAGTGTCCCTATTGTTACACACTCATTAAATTTTCTCATCGGCCTTCCGATCCAAATTCGGTGTGAATGAGGCTTTAGTTTCGTTACGTGGTATTATTCAGGATTACCAAAATTTGCACATTTTGTCTAGCATACAGTAGTAATCTTGTGTGGTTATTGAAAAATTGTACAGAATGCTATTTCTTGTTAAGTGCTCAAAAGAAAAAAAAATCCAGATTAGCTTTATAGACCTGTTAATAAAGGAGCTAAATGGTAAGCTAATGTAGGGGTGAGGGTGGTCTTTAGTTTGCAATTTTTTATTTATGTTACTCTTTTTTCATTCAGGAGGTCCATGTGAAAGCAATCCAGACATTAGCAGAATTAACCTCCAGATGTATAGAACAGTCACAAAGCAGCAGGATTGATGCTGCCGCAGCAAGCCAAGAACACTCCAAAAACACAATCAAAATTGCAGCTGTCTGTCTAACATAAGAACATGTTAAAACTATGAAAGAATTTGCGAAGAGTAATGTGTCCTCCAGGATGTGTACATGTATACTAGCTACATGACTAATTATAAAGCTGCAATTCTTTTACAAGAATCTTTGGCGGGCTGTGTTGGTTCTGCAGCAGGATCTCGTAAATATTGGTGGAGGAAGCCTGTGGTGGATCAGCATCACACTAATGCGCTTCACGCTCCTTCAATCGCTGACACTGGTAAATAGAATTGTAATCGTTGTTTTGGAGTTGGCATACGGTACCTTTTCTGCACTATCTTTTATTAACCCTTCATTCTAATATTTGGGAATTGATTATGTGAGGGGGAATAGATTATGTGAGGGGCACTGGATTATGTGAGGGGCACTAACTCGCAAAATGAGGTAATTTTAGGTGATTTTTAACTACTACTTGTAATTGAGGCACGTGCACCTCCCCTCCCTCTTCGAACTGGACCCTAATCTCAATCTGGATTTGTAGTAGCGAACCCCCTCCCCCTCTTTAGTTTGTAAAATTAGCCTCAAAAAGAAGCCTATCTCGAAAAGAAGCCCATGGGCTTTTCAACATAGCATAGGCTTCTTTTCGAAATAGTAGAGTTACACTGTACACAAATTTAAAAAAAAATAATTAAAGACATAAAGTTTGGATTATACAGTAGTTTACGTGATTTAATGCCAGTTAATAATACTCTATGATACAGATTGATGTACAGCAGCCTTATTATTGTTTCATAGTACAAATTCCCAAAATTTACAGCATTGATTTTGAATGAATCACTAACCCCCCCCCCCCTCTTTACTTTGCAAAAATAGTCTTTAAAAGAAGCCCATGTCGAAAAAAAAAACAAACAAAACCAAAAAGCCCTAGGATTCAATTCGGTATATCCAATTAATTTTACAACAAAAAAATAATAAACGCCTCCTTTGAATAAATAAAGCTATATTGTTAGTCACACGATACTTTTTGCCATTGTTTCATAATTAAATAGACTTATCATTCTTAAATATTATTTTTAGGAAGACCCCACCGCGTTCACATCGGGAGCGAAAATACTCTGCTGAAGCCCAGTTCTCCACAACATTTGAATGCCCTGGGCCCTATATGGCTTGTCGTTACGCCAAAGTTCCTCAGTATGAATAAATATATATGGATAAATAAATTAGCAAGTAAGGGAATAAAGTTACTAAGGTACCAATAATTTCAAGTGGTCTATTGGACTGAACAATGTATAAAAATTTTTCACCTAATCAAAGTAATTAAATTTTGTTTTCTTCACCATGCCATCACAAATGGTGCAATTTAGTAGTCATTTGAACATTATATATAAGCAATGGTATACTCTTATGGCATAATACTCTTTCGCGCATCAATATAGAAAAACATACATACATTTTATATACATATTATAATTAAAAGGGAAAAATGACATTAATGTATTCATTCTTATTGTTGGAACGACAAGGTCAAACATATGGTCCTGCCTGATATAAAAATGTTTGATAATAGTTCACATTTGACCTCATGAACATCCATGTGACATCAGTTTTAACATTGTCAAACTTAGTGAATCGTTAAAAAAAATAATGTTTTCTGAACATTTTAAAAATTAATTTCATAAATACGATAAAAAATTGATGAGATAAAAAAACAGATGATATTCAGTGACTAATAATAATAATAAACGGACATTTATAATGTACCGGTATCCATCGCAGACACTCAAAGTGCATGACTCTGCTCAACAGCTGATAATGCTCCTGTTATTAATGCTAATTTATCAAACGTATTTAACATGTATATTTATCAATTTCAATTTATTCAACAAATACCCCCAGGCTGGGAAAGGTAAAAATATATAAAATACAATAAAACTTCACAATACAAAATTAATCAAAAGGAACTCACATCCATTATACAAAAACCCAAAGTACGGAAATTTAAAATGATCTTGTTAAATTATTGATTGTATGAATATCGTTATTGTACAGTATAAGCAATTCTTTACACACACAGATTCCATGGTTTACACAATTGTGACTCTTTATATCAGCATTTAAATGTTTCTTGTATACATTATTGGATATAACAGAAACAAAGGATACATTTCTATCGATATTATCCTTGATTCTGTCAATGAGAGTACTTCTATACAACATATTATTCTTTGCTTCGAAATTAAGAAGATGGCAATAAAATACTCTAGATTTGGAATCATTAACAAGTAGTTGTGACAAGAGATCCATTGATTAGACAAAATAATATCTTTGATTTTAGGTAGATTTAGAGCATGCAGCAATGGTGTTGATCTACAATGCTTAGGGATACCTAATGCCGTCTTGAACAACTTGCTTTTCATTTTATCCAAGGATACAAAGAAGTTATACATTGACAGCCATACACAAGAATTGGAACTAAAACACTTACTATAAGAATACATAATTTGTCATTTTTGATAAGCAACTTGTTTTCATCCAAGCGCAGGTAAAATATGAGCTGTATATGGCGATATACTTTGTTGTGTAATCTCGCAAAGTGTTATTGATCATTAATGTATACGAAATCTTGAACGTTTGAGTGGTCGACACTGATACTAAAGGCTGAAAATCTAATTTCTTAATGGAAAAAAAATGTCTTAATTTCGTTTTTGTTGCTGTCTCTTTAATTAGTAGTAATTAACTACAAATGTTTCTTTAATCTTCAAGTCTTTTAATGATATTTTTTCTGGTAGTATGACAGAAGTTCTTCCTTGATATCTATTCGTTCAAGTTTTTCCAGTGCATCGCTAATTGTTTCGAGGTGATTTACATCATGTTTCTGTCTAATTCGCCACTGTACCAACATTTGAATGCAGGCGTCTACAGTCGGAGAATAGTCAGCTGCAATTTGATTTATTTCACCTTTTGTCATGCGTAGAAAGGTACCTAATTTTTTCCAATCACTGCCAATCATTTTAGAAGCAAATAGCATATCGATATCTTTCAAGTACCCTTAAATAGAATAAAAGGTAAAATACATCATTGTTACTGTTATTCTACTTATTTTGAATAATACTACTTAAAAGGTAATTACCTGTTATCTCAAATCAATTTGCATTTTCTAAAGCTATGTTAAACACAAAATTACGTGAACTGCAGGAACAATGTTCTCCCTCGACTTATAAAATTATGAAAGATAGACAAACTAATAATGCACTGACCTCTGCTGGGTCAAGTACATTAGCCTAATATGGTAAGGACTCTTAACATCACCCTGTCTTTTACCACCTCCTTTTTTATTTTTGTAAACATCACTTCTCATTATGGGAAAGGTGAAAAGCACTGTTTTGTTTTACAGATTTTATAAGTCTAAACCTTTGATTTTTGTTACTGTTATTGTTTTTTCAGAACACTTATTAACACTTTTAATTTTCTATATTTTTTTTTCTCATTTTGGCCTGTGGAAAAGTATTTAATGTTGATAGGCCTGTTCTATGATGTGGTCTGTACAATACTTAACTTCGCTTTATTATTAGCACACCTTAATGAAATTGTTAAAATTAATCTTAATTATACTTGAAATATTGGCCTATCCCATTTAAGGATCACAAATCAAGAATTATGACTGAGACATCGATATCAGTATACTGATATGTTTTTCAAAATAATGCCATAACATATATTATTTTAAAATCAATATTACATTACTGACCTTCGTGTTCCTGTTGTAATTTTCCACAAGAATTTCCTTTATCTGCATTTACATGGGATGAATGATCGTCTGACGTTTGCAAGCCAAAGACCGTGTAGGCAAGTTCTGTGAGTCCTTGCTCCCTTAGAGATCTGTCCATTATCTTTACTTGATTTGTCTCGTAGTTCTGTCCATTCTTCCATTCTGTTAGCATATTCAGTATGCAGTCTGACGTTAGTCTGTGATCGCTCCATATTTGTTGGATCCTGTTCCAACCAAGACCCAACCGGACACCCAGTTGCTTCCACTCCAGTCCCATGCCACTGGCGATATGAACCAAGTGCTTATCTTCCAGATAACCAAGATTTTTATCTGAATTAAAAAATAAAATTTTACAATACAATGAATAACAATAGCAATCATGGGCTTCAAATAAAAAATATTGATAAATAAATTAAATTTAGAGTACTGTATTAATATATTTTATTAAATGATAATATCTATACTTTTACAGGAATAATTAAATCCAATTAATGTAAGTGGGTATGTTGAATCTGTGTTACCTGTCTCTGGTTTTTTATTCTTGAAAATCCTCCGTAGTTTCCTTGTTTCTATAAATCTCTTCCCGCATGGAATGTGAGTGTCCATCAAGCAGTCGTCTAAATCGTGGAAGTGTGTTTCTTGCGAGTCTTTCCAGCACAGGACACAAAATGTATATCCTGTGTGCTTCATTCCAGATGTCAGTAATTTCATCTCTTGCTTCAGAAACTCCAACACCTTTGATAATAAATATAACATTAATATTAACTATTTAAATGGATTCAAATGTAGATTGAAAACAATAAAAACAACTTTTCAGAAATTTTCTGAAATAATTCAGACCTGGATTGAATGGAACCATTGAGCAAACAAAATAATTGGTGGCTGATTGGAAAGATGAATTTCACCCTATCACTAATTCATAAGTAGAGTTCTTCTATATTGATACATCTTGCATTATAATTATCATTAATCCATAATCTTTTTTTTGTTTAAATTTAACAGCTGATACCTTAACCACAGGATTTTACTACAAAAATACAATACCTGCATACAGACTCTTGGACTTGGTTCACATGAATCCCCCTCTCGACCGATAGGCTTGTGCAATATTTCGAGCTGAAATCAAAATCAAATCAATGTATTTATTTATTTATTAATCAACCAACCAGTCAATTAACTATTGGAATGGATTGGATTTGTCTAAGCACCAAGGATAGCCCACGAAAGTCTAGAAGAAGACTTATTTCCAGTGGGGTCCTTCTGGTGTTGATTTGGGCAGTACACCGGGAGACAATCCCTACTCTTTTCAAAGAGTGTACTGCGTTCTTTAAAGTGCACAAGGGCCATAAATGCACACAGGACCAACAGCTTAAATGTCTCATCCGAAAGACAGTATTGTAACTTGTATTTCAGCCCTTCAGCTGAAACACAAGGAGAGACAGCGATCGAAATTGAACCGGAGACCTAGAGATCTCCACGGTTAATTAAGCACACACATTAATCATTCAATTAAGAATGATAAATTCGTTCATTCTTATTTAAGTGAGCTTATGATCTTCTGAGATTCGCCACCCAACTACAGCTCAACTCTGTAAATATGATCTTGCTAAAGGTTGTCTCATCAGCAATCATGTTGAAGTCAGCTACCAATAGAGAATTGATTTTAATTGAAATATCTTGCAAGCTTGTGTATTATTATTGTATCAGCTTTATAATTATTATTCATGTCAATAAAATACAAAGAAAGGAAGGTGTCCCTGTAGACAAAGTCTTCAAGTATTATAAAAACATAATGTGTTAAAATCAAAACAAAAACTTTAAAAAGTATTATGTTGATCAATCAATCAAACACTTAAGTAAAGCTTGGTTTCCATTCGCTACACTGTCACCGCTACAGTGTTTTCATTGAAATCGTTGTGCATCCCCGACGCAATGTTAAAGGCTTCATGATGCGACCGACCAAACAGCATTACTAAATACTGTTGGTGATAGCGTGTAGCGACTGTATGGAAACCAAGCATTAATGACATTACCTTTAACGAGGGTTTGTTATCGATGACTACTGGTCCTATGCTGAGAATGTGATCACGTCCTAGAGTGATGATTGCATTGTTGCTAAATAACTGTGGTTTAGCCATGTAGCCCATATCTTGTATCATTCTAATCAAGCTGACAACCAGAGGATGGAAGACACTATCGGGGATGAAATCCTTGGAGGCCACATAGATAGATACCGTCTCATCCGTGTCTGGTTTAATAGACAAACTCTCTTTGCTACGCTTCAATCGACAGGGCACAAAAAATGAGCGTTGTGTGCCTCCCACATTCTTTAAAGAAAACAGTTTTAAAACTTAAATGTAAGGAAGGAGAAAATATGTAAAATAGAATAAGTGGCTTGTGTGATTCTTTTCGAAAATAAAATTCATTACTGTATTTGTTTTCAATACAAAATAATTCCATATTAATTGTACCTTTTGCTCACAGAGAAGTCCAAACTGCTTCATTAGTTCTATGAAGACCTCAAAGCTACTTTCCTCTCTGCTGAGCTCATCTCTCCAAAGATGTCTGACTAACTCTTCCTCCAGTATACCTTCATTATCAAGTTTATTCCACAGGTTGATCATTGCAGCCCACTGAAAGTATGATGATTCATAACATGTTATCTCACTGATACACTGACTGCAGATGTCAGGCAGGGTACTTAATTTCTACTAACTCACTTTATCATGGTCATTAGGTTCCACCACTGTGATGATTTTCCTGAAGATGTCACTCAGCTTTCGTGGGTTTATTATCACTGTATGCTTCAGTAGTTTGTTGTTCTCAAAGTACAGAATGATTCCAAGATCATGTAGGTAATTGAGGGTGTGAATGAGGTTATCCACAGAAATTCCACACTTAGTGGCAACTTCACAAACCTTAAGGTCAATGTCATGAAATAAAGATAATAATATAAGATGTAGTTTATGCCTTAGACTTACTATGCACTACAACTAACATCAATATTTCAGTAAACTGATATACACTTTACAAATACTTTTTTTTTTATTCGTGTACAAGGTTTGTGGTGGTGACGACGTCTCAACATCGGGGTGCACATTTTCATTACCTGAGCGACTTGCTCATTTACTTTTATCAATTGTATTTACTTATTTTTTAAAAATGATTTTTTTTCAATATTAATATTATTCATTGTCTGAATACTGCCAATGCCTTGAGACGATTTCATTGTGGATAACACAAATATCTACTATTGCAAATAGCCAGGCCTAGCAAAAACATGTTTTGTAAAAGACAAAACCATGTTTGTCTTTTGCAAAATGTGTTTTGTAAGCGACAAAACATGCTTTGTGTTTGAGCAAGGACCTATAACTTCTACCAGGATAGGAAGCTGGCTGGTTTAAGCCGTCTAACTTGAATTAGACTTATGTGTGGTATTGTTATGCTAATGAGCCAGATAAGCACAATCTGCACATGCTCATAAAAACAAAACTTTCCTTTGCCACACTACAGCCCGCATTGCGTATCGGCTAGGCATACAGCTAGGCTTGCCAAGGATTACAAACATGGTTTGTCTTAATACAAACATGTTTTGTACAGACAACATGGTTTTGTCTTTTACAAAACATGTTTTGTACAAACATAGTTTTGTCTTTTACAAAATATGTTTTGTAAAGACAGAACTTTCGTATATTACAAAACATGATTTGTCCCTTACAAACATGATTTGTTTGACAGAACAGGTAGTATGTCGCTTGGCGCCCCGTAACAAACTTGATTTTATCAAGAAAAATATACATTGTAAAATGTGCGCAATTAGACTTTTTTTAATTGATCGGTGATCAGGGAAAAGACCATTCGTAATAAAATCGACGTTCTTAAAATGGACGTTTTACTGTCTATAAAAATGTACAATACCTCAACATAAGTCATACGTATTGCTGTCCTACCAATCTCCTGGATTTTACTTTGGAAATTAAGCCACGTAAGCGGAATTGTTTTGGGCATTGCCTTGAGAAATCCGCCGACATCTTGTTTAAGAGTCTTGAGCATCACACTTTTCAATGGAAACTTGTTGTCGATGGCATACATTTTCCTCACCACATGACATTCATATGGCGTGCCTTCGATTTCATCAAATATTATTCCAAACTGTTTTTCAATCTAGATAAAAATATATGAGCACTGCACAGTTTTCAAAATGTTAATCAATTATGTCGTGATTTCAGATTAAATTCCCTCAGCATGTCACATTCATATGGAGTGCCTTCGATTTCTTTTAATATTTCATTTCATTTTACCTTTATTTCACACAACGCAAAAAATACAATATAAAATTCTTCAGAAAGGTAAATAAATAACAAGGACAATGTAATATAATTAAGTAATATTAACAAATTATTAAATTACAGTAAATACTAATAAGTGAAGATATAATAATTAATAATAACAATAAAATAATAATAATAAAGTTAATAAAGATAATAGTAATAATAATAATAGTAATAATAATAAATAATAATATTACTTCAAACTTTTTTGGAATCTAAATAGATAAAATACATGTATAAATTTAATTATGTATATAATCGGTTTCAACAAGTTATTATTACCATTGAAGGTATTTTAATACACGCCTTTACCTTTTGTTTCTTCTCATCATCTGTCCCTTCTAGGCTCTCGCTGTGGGTACCGACTACCACAATTTGGGGTTTCTTGGCTCGTAGCAGTTGATCTTGTGTCTTATCTGGGACAGCGTACGTATATATCAACATCATCCAATATTTAATAATCTCTATATTTGTCATATCATACATGATAACATCACTTTCCTGAAAGTATATTTTACATCTGTTTAGGTAAATATTAATAAATAAAAGAGTAACAATAAGTATAACAAAGAGGAAGCATTTATGTAATGAATAAACATAATATTCAATGTGCTGCAAAAAACAGTAGTAGGAAAAAAATAAGAAAGGTTACCGTTCCATGTATCCTACGCTTCCCTTTTTCGTACATACATTCTATCAAACTAAACAAAATCAAATACACCACCTCGCTCGTTAGGAATATCTAAAAGAAAAGGCGAACTTTAGTTAGTGACTAGCTTTCTCTTGTTTTGAATGATTCACTGATTTAAAAAATGATAACAAAAATGTACTATAACTTTAGTATAAAATTACTAATTATGTAGCCGAGGTCTAAATTGTTCACCAAGCTATTGATTATGAAAGTTGAATTTTATTATATATTTTAATACCTGATAACTTGATGCAAAAATTCAATTTGTTTCTACTCATGTTACCTCAGAGGTAATGATGATGTCAGTGTATTTGTTAAGCCCATATAATAATAATAATTTTATTAGGAACTACACTTTTCAATCAGTGGCACACTTCTCAATCAAGGTGCGTCCAAAAAAAATGTACAGTAAAGTTCACAAAAAAGACTTATGCTAAGAAAACGACAATTCAAAATTTCAAAAGGACATTAAGGAAAAGCAATTAAATTAATAGCAATCCTAAAACTTAAAAAAATTTTAGGCAAAATGAAGTGATGCAAACAATCACATGAACAATTATACAAACACTATACAAACGTACATGAAATACACACACAGTACATAAGTACACATATATCCATACACAACTGTATACCCAGTCACATGACTGTACCGTACTCACAATTATAAACATAAAGACATACAGTACATACTGAACTCTATACTACACCACTTATCACACAAGAAGCACACATATCAGGCCAGATAACACAGAAGCATATAAAAGTAAATCAAAAGTCATAAAGTAATACAGGACTAAAATCAAAAACGTTCGTACTATATTACGACAGTCTTTAAGTCTTGAAAGAAGAAAAAATATAAAAAAAACATGATATATCCTAAAACTAACAACCAAGGAGGCAAACAGAAGAAAGCAGAAGGAATCAGTGCCACGGCTCTGTTCTCCAGCACTTTGAGGCTCTCAATAATAGCTCGCTGGAAGATGATTCACAGAAGCTCTAGTCAAGGGCGCACATTTGTTGAAAGGTAGGGGTGGGGGTGGACATTTCGTGGGCTCACACCCACCTCAGCCCCACTATGGTTGGGATTGAGATGGAAAAATTTGAGGAAATAGTACCTCTAGATGGCCGGAAATGACACTCTTTTATAGTAAAATTTATCACACCACATCACCATTTTTTTCTCATGATCTTTTATCAGCAATTTTTGGCAACCATAGAGATCTAATTAATTTGTGTGATGTACCATAGAAAATAAAACTTAAATATATTGTCTTTGATGAAATTCTTTACTTTACCTACTTCAAAGCTGCGAGCCCACACCCACCTTAGCCCTACAATGGTTGGGACCAAGGTGCAAAAATTTGAAGAAATAGTATCTCTAGGCGGCCGGAAATGGCACTCTTATATAGTGATATTTGTCATCATCAATTACCATTTTAGTCAAAATGAAGCACCAACAAATTTATCATCATCTTTTATCAGCGATTTTTGGCAATCACAGATCTAAATAATCTGTGTGATGTACATACAGTAGTTAGGGCAGATGCAGGATTTGTGCGGTAGGGGATGCATGGGTGTCCACAAGCCCAACCATGGTGGGGCTCAGGTGGCAAAATTTTGAGAATATGGACCTGTAGATATGACCCTACTATTTTATACAATGTCAATGTATCTTATAATTTAATTTGATTACTATTTTTTTTTTTTTCAAGCACCCCCTTGGAAATTTGTTTTTATACAGCTTTAGTGGGCTATCCTAGTAGTAGGCCTATTACCATGGTTTACAACATCCCATTTTATTGACTCTAATTTTTAATATTTTTTCCTTTTTTAAAGTATGTAATGACTTTTAAGAAAATCATTGTTATTTGCTGTTTATTGTTGATGTTGTGGTATACTATGAATAAAGTCAAGTCAAGATTCCCGGAAATTCCGCTTTCATACTTTAAAAGTGCTACTTGTACTATGTTCATAATGATAAAAATAATATATCTATCAACAATACAATTTAACAATTACGTTTCTTAACAAATTTAGGGGTTGCGTTAGCACCGTATGCACACCCTCCACACCCGAATAGAAAATAGAAGTTAAAAACATTGTCTTTGATGTATTTACTTTACTTCACATCAGTGGCGGCGCCAGTGGGGTGGCAGGGGGGGCTTAAGCCCCCCAATGGACAGGTCAACCCCCCCAAACCCTGCCGGACAGAGTTCGTTGGGCAGTCAGACCATAAAACATATAAAAATAGGCCCACAACAAGCCAACCTATGTCTGCCACAGTCTGAGAGTGCCATTTTTGGCCATCTAGAGGTTGAAATTCTTTTTAAAAAATTCTCATTTGGGAGGGGGAAACCCCTCTCAACTCCTTCTCCCAGCTCGAGCCTACGAGCTCAAGTCTCCCCCTGTCGGACAACTTAGCCCCCCAGAATATATATCCTAGAGCCGCCACTGCTTCACATACTTCTCACCCTCATATATACAAACTATTTCCCATATCGGCCAATAAAACGATACAAAAAATCATGACCAATCAAGGTAAAAATGAAAGTGAGTGCTTACTCGATGTGTGATGTAGTAGAGCTGTTGGCCAGCAAAGTCCCAAATGCAAGTCATATCTTCACTTCTAGTCTCCCCTGATTTGTTCTTCATTCTGTTAACAAGTTTGTCTTGGTATTCAACTGGAAGCACTTTGGTTGAACTGTTATCACCACTTGTACTCTGGCTCTCGAATAAATCTCCTATATCTTTACAATTACAAGAAATATAAGAAATTGATTTTTTATTTATTTTGTAGATAGTGTTAATTATGATGTACATATGAGGATGATGACAATGCATCTTGTGGGGATGGTGATGAAGATTTTGGAACGATGTCATAATGATTGTAAAGTTAACATGATAATGTTATTATAGGCCTTTCCTGAGGGTCAATTAAACTAACATCTGACCAATCGGAACAAGGCCGGTAATACCCATGTGTCCTACAAACACAAGGTTGGCATCTCACAAACGCACGCGTTTGTGTATATTCTTACGCTGTCGTTTTCTAGGATCTTAGCAACCGTATCCAAGGGGCAGAGCTTAGTGGAAAGGCCCATTAGGAAAAGAAGTACCTGATCATATTAATTACAATGATGTTATTCGTGATAATAGTAGGGATATGATGAATGCTGATATTAATAACATGCTTCCAAGAAACCAATAAATGTTGACCATTACAGCCCGTGATTTCTATAGGCTACAATAGCCTATATTGTGTTTGTGTTTGAAATGATGAAAAATAATTAGGAAACTGCACGATCAAAGTTTAATGAATGAATTATGTGAAAATACTTTTGTAAAAAATATACAAAATTGACAACCTTCACGGTTCTCTGTTGCAGTTTCTTCCGCCATTTCATCCTGTGTATCAACATAATATAAAAGGAATTAATATTTCAATATATATACATATACTAAATATTGTATCATCGTGATTACAGTATTCAAAGTTGTAGCATTTCTCACTTGTTTAGAAAAAAAGATGAGATACCACATGTACCGTGAGTACAAAGTTACCTCCACTGATTCCAGTCACGGGCAGTGTTTTCAAGCATCTAAGTAACATAATAATATAATATTATAGGTCCAGTGGTGGCTCAAGAAATGTCCAACAGCAGGTAATTTCCCACCAGGGGTCCGAACCTTGGGGTCGACTAGAACTTCCCAAAATAATAATGCCTCATAAGGTTCATGGAGAAATTGCTTATTCAACTGTCTAACAGAAATGGATGACTGATTTCAGAGATGGGCAGTCTGAACAGAAATTAGCCTAGTGGGGGTGGGGCAGTGGCGGACCGTCAAGGCAAGCAAGGTATGCAGTGCATACCCTGGCTAAAACAAATTTAAAAAAAACATAGTAGTACAGTTTCTCCGTTTTATTTAGCATCTTAGAATCTTCTATATGAGCCTTAATTTTTCGAGTGGATTACTACAGTTCATTGGAATAGCAAGGTTTTTCAATGTTTGCCGGTCCTACAGTACTTTGGTATTCAGGATAAGTCACAGTTGGGCCTATCGCTGGATAGTTATAAGTTCCGCATGGCTGGTCTTCAATCTCAGCCAATCACATATTCAGTGAGTCAATAGGTGTCAGAGCATACCCTACAATGCTTAAATTTGCTATTGTGACAACCGTGATGGCGTCAGAATAGCCAATTTAACAATGGAATGGAAGCAGTGCTTCCATTCCAGTTCGCATGCTTTTTAATCGAGACCTTCACTGTCGATCGGGTATTCTATCGACAGGCTTAATCTCAATGATTAAAGTTTAAATAAATTTATTTGCGTACATATGACCGGTATATAAGAAACTTTGAATTATGATTATTTGAATTGAAATTTGTTAAAATACAGGAATAGGAATTCTTTTGAAGAAAAGATACTACAACCATGCCGGTATTAAAAATAACATACCGGTACATTTGTATTTTGACTATGAATACAATCAGATTCTGTACAGTAGTTGGCTTACAAACTTTCCATACTAGCAGGCACTAGCATCAGTGGCATAGGGGTCTTGAAATGGAGGGAGCTGATGGGAGTGGGAACGTTGGGGATCGGTGATTAGGTGAGAAGACTAACTCACAAAATAAGGGGATTTGACATAATTTTTAACTTGAGTATGATTTGTGGAAGGGGGCGCGTCAGAAGATAGGCAAGTTTTTTTATTTCAGGGGTGGGTGTCATCCTAGATATGGCAATACCTAGCATACAATTTACCATACAGTCCGCCACTGGGGTGAGGGGTTCCTCATGCATCATCTCCTACAAATGTGATTTTATAGTGTAATCGTCTTTAAAATTTGTACCACGATATGGACATGAAGGGCAAGGAGATAGGGGAAATTACAAATCTCCTAGCAATGGCACCCTATTGAGAACTCCCATTTGGGATTGTGTACGTTATATAGCCTTTATACTGTTAGTGTATATATTTTCGGGCATTGATTTCATCAAGGTAATTAGATAGATAGTAATACAAGCATAAATACGCTAAGCATACTTCTATGAAGGAGAGTTGAGTTCTATCGGGGAGTTGATTACAGAAAAACTATGAAGAAAGAAGAATGAATCACTGGCATGAGTAATATCAGATCTATATTTGTTAGGTATAAATTGTCTCGCAAAGAGTTACGACCAATTTGTAGAGAGCTCAATACCGGGGTAGAGCTAAATGAAAAACAAACGAAGGCAAAATTTGATTACCTTATATAAATAATGAAATGAGTGTCTGTGGACGGGGGGTCGTGTGCATGTGAGTGTTTTCCTACCTGAGCCGATAATACGTCAGATGTAGATGATTTTTTACTACTCGTCTTCCTACTGAGCCAGGAAAATAAACGTCTGAATTTTGAGGCAGGTTTGTTTTTGGACATTTGAACTGGTGCTGGTACAGGTGGGGGCTTCTGTATGGACAAAGGTTCTGACTGTGGTACTGATTCATATGGTATCGGTTCTCGTGCCGGTTGGTGTTCTTCTCTCCCGTTTCCTATTTGTTGTAATTTCTTTACAACATTATCTTCTAATGCTTTATCATGTACCTGCAAGGTCTGATTACAACCTGCAAAAAAAAGTATACTTTCAAAGTCACAGCTAATCAACAATTAACAAAAGGGTATTTTAAAGGCCAGCTCCGGGCAAAAATTTTCTATTGATTATATATTATAGTTATTATCAATCTATTGATTCACCTATGTTTCAGGATTTTTCTGAATTTTGTTTTGCTACATGATTTTTTTGAAAATAAGTACTTTTTTGAAAGTGGGGGGTATAGGTAAACTTGCCCAGCAAAATTCCTATTCTTTTGCACACAAATGACCTTAAGAGCAGGCATTTTGAAAAATTCATAACAAATAAACAATAGGGCAAAAAATTACACTAAATGACTAAACTGGGGAAAATTTAGTAGAACTTTTCGTTTCTGGTGTTTTTTTTTAACGTCAAGTACGTATTTCTGCGCAATTATCATTTATTCCCCACCGTACCCACTTGATTTTTTTCACTTTCCGGGGAGTCAAATCGCTCTGAGCTTTGCGCATGCGCTAACTTACCAATTCACTGCTGCTCTCATTGGCGTAACAGGCGGGGGGGGGGCAGGCTACCCCCCTTGATGGTTTTTACCGGGCTGAACTAGCCGTTGTACTGGGCTGGGTAATAAGAGAAAAGAAAGAGGGGAGAGGGAGGGAAAGAGAAAGAAGGGGAAAAGAAAAGTAAAGGAAAAGAAAAAGAGGAGAGAAAAATAAAGACAAGAATAAAAAGGAAGATATCATAATGACCAGACTCACAACACCCTGCAACCTCTTCTCCACTTAACTCCTTTGATCTAAGCTGCCAGATGGTGTAGGCTAACCACCGGGGAACAAGGGGAAAATATCTATCTTTGGAAAATCTTTCCCACCCTTTTATAAATGCCCTTTTCATCCCCTGAAAGTGCCTAAAAATCTCAATTTTCCCACGCTTCACGAGCCTTTCTTGTCAGAGTAGGCCAATTTTCTCTAAAAATTGCACATCTTAGAGATTTTGGATCAATTCCGACAAAATTAGAATTAAAAATACCGGGGGACAAGGGGAAAATATCCATCTTTGGAAAATCTTTCCCCACCCCTTGATAAATGCCCTTTTCATCCTTTGAAAGTGTTTAAAATCCTCAAATTTCGCGCGCTTTGCGCGCATTTCTTGTTACGGCATTTGTGAAAAAGGCATACGCCTTTTTCACAAATCGGTAGACATCGCCTTTTTCACAAATCGGTAGACATCTTGAAGTGATGACAAACATTGCAAATCAGCGGTGCGTAACCAACAGAAATAAGATAAGCTTTTGGGCGGATTTTTTGACATCATTTTATTTAAAAAATCATAACTCTATAACGGGGCGTCGTATCCCAAAAAAATTTCCAGCAAAATGTTCTTAAAAGACTAGTCTACACTCTACACCACTATATGATTGAAAAAAAATTGAAAAATTTTTTATGTTTAATATTTGGTTGTTATTTTTTTAGATAATAAACAATTTTTTGAAAATGATAATATTCTACAAGACAAAAAAGGTTTGTGTTACGGTCTAGGCAGCTACGTAGCTTCAATTGGCCGATGTTTCAGGCCTGGCTAGCAACTAGGCCTAGCTACAGTACCAAATGATTAGGCCTAGGCTAGGCGGCTAGCCCTACTAGGCCCACCTACTCGAGAAAGTCAAGACAATTCACACACACACACACACACACTTGTACGTAGGCTAGGCCTTGCCAAAAATAAATATTGTACAAACAAATCTTTTATGTACCTTGGTTTGACGACGTACGTAAAATTTATTTTCTGTTATGGCCAGTTACAGTCAAAGTTTTGGCTTGCCACCCATTTCATACAGTTATTGAAGCTAAAAGAAATCCTAGGCATAGGCTGGCAAAAAATATTGCAATTCTTTACTGTGGCAGTTCATGGGCTGCATATATAAACGATCCTAACTGTGTCTCAATGTTTAAAAAAGACGTACTGGCTCAATTGCATGTAGACTTTCTTTCATGTACAAGCTAAAACTGTGACACAAACTGAAATTCAATACCGTGCAGAGATATAATTCATGGGCAGGCCCGTATTCGGGGGGGGGGGGGTTTATGATTTATTTATTTATTTAAAACCATGTTTTGAGTGGGCGACCCTTGCAGAATAATCTGATGTTCAGGGGCCCACTTAAATACAAATATATAAAAAGTATATAAAAATAGCAAATCTATCAATTAATCATAAAATTTCAAACAGCAAATATTAAAATTCTAAAAATATAAAAATAAGAAAAAGAAAGCAAAAGAAAGGAAACAGACAAAACAGACAATGTACAAACAAACACACCCCCACACACACAAACACCCGAACCCAAACAGGCAAAAAACCTAAGAAAAAGGGGAAAATAAATCCTTGTTTAAAATGTGTTGCTTGATGTGATTTTTAAAGGTGTTGTAA